TGTGTTGTGCTAATTTCGTTGTGTTGTGCTAATTTCGTTGTGTTGTGCTAATTTCGATGAGTTGCAGCTTGTTTCTGTTGTGCTGTGCAAATTTTGTTGTATTGCGACTTGTTTCCGTTGTGTTGTGGCTAATTTCATTGTGTTGCGACTTGTTTCCATTGTGTTGTGCTAATTTCGTTGTGTTGCAGCTTGTTTTCGTTGTGTTGTAGCTTGTTTTCGTTGTGGGGTGTTAATTTCGTTGTGTTGCGACTTGTTTCTGGTGTGTTGTGCTAATTTCGTTGTGTTGCGACTTGTTTCTGGTGTGTTGTGCTAATTTCGTTGTGTTGCGACTTGTTTCTGGTGTGTTGTGCTAATTTCGTTGTGTTGCAACTTGTTTCTGGTGTGTTGTGCTAATTTCGTTTTGTTGCAGCTTGTTTCCTTTGTTGTGCTAATTTCGTTGTGTTGCGACTTGTTTCTGGTGTGTTGTGCTAATTTTGTTGTGTTGCAGCTTGTTTTTCCGTTGTGTTGTGCTAATTTCGTTGTGTTGCAGCTTGTTTCCATTGTGTTGTAGCTTGTTTCCATTGTGCTGTGCTAATTTTGTTGTGTTGCAGCTTGTTTCCGTTGTGTTGTAGCTTGTTTCCATCGTGCTGTGCTAGTTTTGTTGTTTTGCGGCTTGTTTCCATTGTGTTGTGCTAATTTCGTTGTGTTGCAACTTGTTTCTGGTGTGTTGTGCTAATTTTGTTGAGTTGCGACTTGTTTCTGTTGTGTTGTGCACTACTGTGCCACCGTAGATAATAATCAGAAAAAGCTGAAAATTCAGCTTTGCCATCTAAAATATTAAATATATTAAAATAGAAGTTATTTTAAGTTGTAATAATATTTCACAATATTCTATTGATGATATTATTTAATACACTAATGCTTCATTTTGTTATTCACAATCGATCAGCTTCACCAAACGGGTCTCAATTATCCATTGACTGCTCTCAAACTCACCTTAGTGGCCTCTAGCTGTGACTCTAGAGTTCCGGATTCTTCCACCATGCAGGACCTGCCCACACACAGAGTGATGAAACCAGCAGCAGGAGCCCGAGAGCACATGGCACATCCACCCAAAATCATCTCACTCACTCCACATGCCAGTCTACACCTTACAAGGGCGGCTCTCACTAGACTAGCTCACTTATTGGGTCAAAGAACAAAACCAATTGTATTGGGCAGAGTAGACCTTAAAAAGGTATTTTTTATTTTTATATGACTATGAGTTTATACTATATTGTTTAAATGGTTTGCATAACCATTACATCTAGTTCTGTAACCTGCATCTTCCTGAATTTCTTGTACATAATAATGGGACTTACCAATTTTGTAGTAGATATGGAGTACAAACTATAAGCCACCCCAGAATGCAACTACAGTAACCAAAGTCATGCTAACGAAGCCAAAATATATCCATGGTAATCCAGACCATGCTTGATTAGGGCTGCTGTCAACAGGGTTAGAAACTGCTATATTTGTACCACTGCTTAGTTTTAGTTTTGTCTTGCATACTTTTAAAAGCAAAATGTGCAAAATCGAAGATTCAAAGTTGGACTCGACTAGCCATATTATAAATGTCCAAAAAATGTCAATGCACAGTTGTTTGAATTCAGATCAGGATATTGAAAATGTCTACAAGTACTTTTTCAATCATGGAAATCACATTGCAGTTTCCACCCTGGATCTGGTGCATGAACATTTTCCTCAGAATGAAGAAGAAAAAACAAAACAAATAACTGAAACATGGAAAAAAACAAAACGTTTAAAGAATGAGATGAAGTGTTCACACTCCTCAACATCAGTGCCAAATGTAGCCAGGCTTGTTGGATTAAGAAGCTGGAAGGGTTCATCTAAAAAAAAGCCTCACATCGCAGTGAATGTTAGTAAAAGGGAATTGAACACACACAGAGCCTTTACAGTGGGGGTCAGACTCGAGTGCATGAGGAGAAGAAAACCCAAAAGGTGTGGGGTGAGGGGGCAAGAGGCCAATCAGAGGAGGAAAAAAAGGGAGAAGACCTTCCAGAAAGATCATCTTCGACTTCATAGTGATAGACACGGATTACCCTCCGATAGGCTATGCTATTCAGAGACGAGGGAGGTGGGAGATGAAGAGGGAATGGAAAAAGAGTGTGAAAAACAGAAAGGAATACATCTGGAAATATAGTCAAAACATACGATAAAATACGCAAAATATATGTAAAGTGAGATAAAGTCCTTCTTGAGACACCCTGTATTATTTCTATCCAAATTATTGTTCTATTCTAACCTGAAACTCCCAAATTCCTGGTTTATTTTATACCAAATATGTGTTTCTATCATAATGGTTCCATTAAATGCTATTAAACAATACATACACACTCACACACAAACATACTATAGTAAAAGAGTAAAAAATTTGATATTAACCCATCCAGAAGGTATGTCCTGATTAGAGAAATGATCCCAAGCATCAGGGTAGCAGCGAGAAGGCCGAAGGAATGGGGAAAGAGAGACAAATAGAGGAGGGGGAGAGAAATAAACAGTTAAAACATTGAGTGGTGACATCAACGCCACTACTCAACACTCACATAAAAAGAAAATGTGACCAGCACAAAGCCCTGCTGCAGCATATCAAGCCCAGGTGGGTTTAAGTTGTGTGATCAATGTGAAATCCTTGATCACACCCAAACAGACAACATGGCAAAGCAGGCAATGACTTAAAGACTGTAGTCACAAAAACAGTCGATGACACGAATGAAAATGGGCATCTAAGAAAGTTACATGGAGATCAGGAAAGCTTGATCAAATGCGAACAAATGTGTGTGTGATGTCATGCAATGGAAACAAATGTGTTGCATGCGGTGTGTTTAAACCTCGAGCACAACTCTACTCTAATGAAACTCTACTCTAGAGAACACAGCACTGTAAGTAGTGCATGCTGGTCCTCTGTACCTGGTCTCCTGCAGCCATTGGTGGAAGGCATTGGCATGTTGGGCAAACTCTTGTCTAAGTTTATCGTTCTCTTCCTGTCTCCTCTGTTCCTTCTGTAGCTCCAGCTCTCGCTCCTATAAATCATATTTATATAATTATTGAGTTTTTTAACTCTACTTTATACACATTCAATCATGCTTCAGGATTCCATTATTACCTTGATGATCTTTTGAAGGTTCCTCCAAGTCTCCTCTAGAGCCTCCATGGTGAACCAAGTGTATGGATTGGAGGCCACGTGGTAACTCTTGATCTGACGATCAAGTTCTGCCAGTTGGCTGAAGTCGGCCTCTGCGGAGCTGAGCGAGGAGTGGAAGGCGTCATGGGCATCCCGCAGGGCCCTGATCTCCTCCAGAGAGTTGCACCTTACAGGGTCTGTCAGATCTTCTTCAGCGTTCTCAAACCAGCTGTTGAAGGCTGAGGCCTTCTTGGCAAAGGTGAGGAACAGATCCTCGACCTGGATGGAGTAGCGAACAAGAGTTAAAGACACAAAACAAAAACGTATTTTTCCTGACTTGAGGCGAAATTTCGTTCTCAAACCAGCTGTTGAAGGCTGAGGCCTTCTTGGCAAAGGTGAGGAACAGATCCTCGACCTGGATGGAGTAGCGAACAAGAGTTAAAAAACGTATTTTTCCTGACTTGAGGCGAAATTTAATTCTCCACACCTTTCTGAAGTGCTCCTGGGCCTCCAGAAGCTTCTTCTTGCGGGTGGCTGAGTTGGACAGCAGCTGGTTCCAACGCTTCATCAGGGTGGCATGACGAGCCTCAATGGCCTTGGACTGTACGTGTTTGGCAGCCAACAGCTGGTCTTTCAGGGCTGTGATGTTGGTGATGCCCTCCTGCTGGAAGGCCTGAAGCCCAGCATCAAAGGTTTCCTATGACAGAGTGGAATCAAAACAGTCAGTTACAGCAGTAAATGGATATGCTGTGCTATGGCTATATTATTCCATATGCTATGTCACACCTGTTTAGTGAGCAGAGTCTGCACCGAGGAGAGATCTCGACCATAGTCATCGGTCTTCAGGCTGTTTTCCTTCTCGCCTAAAATACATTTGAGTTACAGATTACAAAGAAGCAGAGAAAATAACATGTTATTTCTTATCAAACCCTCTTTTAAATGAGGTTTGATGCATATGAGAGGAAACATTTACTCACCAATCCAGGACTCCACCACATCAGCCTTCCAGTTGAACTGAAGGAAGGCAGAGTTCTCATCCAGTTTAGATTTCCTCTGAGCTGCAGCTCTCTCAAGCTCTGACACTTTCCCACGCAGGGCCTTCATTTTAGCCATGATGTTCTCCATGTTGTGGTTTTCCTGCACAAAAAGCCCGAATATGATGTTATGATATTGCCATCAGGTCACATCCTACTTCAAAGGGACTGTCTATAATAAAGCATTAAAGGCAGGATATGTGATTTTTCAAAAACACTTTAGAAAACTGATTCGGGCCGAATAGCAAAACAAACTTGTAGCCAATCAGCAATAAGTATTTTCTAAAAATAATTTTCTGTCGGGGATTTGTTGCACCGCGCCGCTCACGTCCGTAGACACGGTGTAACATTGGTTTTGCTTTGTTTCACAGAACTAATCGTTGTCTGGGTTGCGTACGTATATGTGGGGCGGAGCTATCAAAATAGGGGCAAGACCCTTTTGGGGTAGGGGCGTGTTTGTTTTGGTGATTTCAAATATCAACATTGGCTACCAGAAATCACTTACTCTGCCTTTAAAGGGTCAAAGGGGTCAATGTTTTGTATATGGACTTTGTAATAGTTGTACTATACCTTTTTGATAAGTTCATCTCCATTGGAACAAACATCATTCACTCGGTCCCTGTGCACGGTAAAATCAGTTTCAAATGCTTCGTGTTTCTTCAGCAAGCCCTGAAAAAGAAGAGCCAAATAAAGAAACTTAAGACACAAGCTAAAAAAAAAAACAGCATTATGAAGGTGTGTCCAAGATCAAGCCATAATCAGCTAAATGTGGTTTATTTTTTCACACCTGCACAGCTGCCAGAGTATCACCGTAATCCTCACTTCCGACCAGGTTCAGTTTCTCATTAATCCAAGCTTCCTCTTCCTCCACATTTGCCACAAACTGCTGGTACTCTAGCGACTCCTCAAGCCTCTGTCCACTAAAAACCGGAAAACCAAAGAATTTTCAAATTCCTATCCTAGGCAATATACATAATCATAAGATTTTTGTTAATGTTTTTGAAAAAAAAAATCTTATTGATCCAAACTTTTGAATGTGATCAGAAAAATAGACCAGAAAAAAGTAAAATACGGTACTGACCGTGCAGCAGCCAGATCTTTCAGTTCCCTCCAGTGCTCCACAAACTGGGCCAGCCTCTGATGGATCTCCTCCTGTCCAATGGTGTTGTCATCAGACAGCTTCTTCCCAGTTTCCAATACAGACTGCAAGGCCACAAAAATACTGTCAGCATTCAGAATGACGATTCATTTAAGACTTTTTCATTTCTGTGAATTGATATGCAACCATGTTGCAGGTGACTCCTCACCTGAATGGCCGGCTCGTGTGCTCCAAGCTCAGCCTCCAGCCTCTTGTGTTTCTTCCTTAGATTCTGTACTCCTGTCAAATCACGTCCGTAGTCCTCCGAGCTCACCAACAACTTCTTTTCCCTAATGGAAGATAATTAATTCAATCTAGTGTACAGCCTCAAATAATGCAGTTAGTGTGAAAAATTACAGATCACTCAGAATGATGTCAACCATACTTGATCCAAGATTCCTCATCGTCCAGATCCCTGAAGAACTGGTGCAGACGATGCGACTCGTTCAGCTTGGCACGGCGCCCAGCAGCCATGCTCTTGATTTTGCCAAAGCGTCCGTTGACAGCATCACGCTTGTCCTTAACCTGAGATGTGTCGAAGGCATTGCTGGACATCAGACTGTCAGCCTGGCCATTGAGATCCTTTAGACGATCCTATAAGAACACAAAAACAAGCATTGATCAGGACATATTGGATTTTGGTAATGCTCTAAATGAGTGATCCCTGATCAGTATGTCTGAAGAGCTACCTCATGAGCAGAGATGTCAGCCTCCAAAAGCTGGTGCTTCTTAAGGAGATTGTTGACTGAGGCCAGATCTTTGCCATAATCCTCAGAGGCAAGAAGAGCCTCAACCTAAGAGCACAGGAAAAATGTGCAATGGATATTATTATCATTAAAATTATTTAATTAAACTGTGTTCTACTGAAGAAACAAAGTCACCTACATCTTGGATGCCCTGGGGGTAAGCAGATAAACATCAAATTTTCATTTTTGGGTGAACTATCCCTTGAAGTCAAGAACTATCCTAAGTAGCTACTAAGTCATATCTCAATACCTCAGACAACCAGAAGTCAAAGTCCTTGATGCCAGTGTTGAAGTTCTGCTGCTTGTTTGCCTCTTTCAGTTTTTGACTCTTCTCGGCAGATTTGTTGACGAGGAACTGCCACTGCTCATCCAGAGCATTAAGACGAGCCTGAGAGCAAATGTGAGCACAACCACAGCAAAATGAGCACAGACTGTAACTCACCATCTGCCTATTTCTGAAATACTTCTGAAATTGTTACCTTGACGGCATCCTCACTTCCAGCACAGGCACCTCTCTGGATGAGAGCATTGCCCGTGTCAATCACCCCATGGATACGATCAGCATTAGCGTGTAACTCAGCCTCAAAAGCCTGGTGCTTCTGGTGCTTGCTCTGAAAGTGGCAAGAAAGCGAAATACAGCTAAACTGAGCCACACAGTGAAGTCATGCATGGGTGCAGCTGTGATAAAGCAATAGCTGGTTTTGTATCTAACACATGATACTGATATAAACGTATCTGTGTAAAAACTCAATTTCAGTGAAAGCAGTGCATATTCAAAGCTATTGTAACGTATGTTTGTGCATTTTATGTGTATGCCTTTGTGTAGACTGTTTGTGAATGTTTGTCATTATTTGTAGCCACGAAAGAGCAAACCTTTTCAAAACATCAATGTGTACATTGTGAGAAAAAAAGTGAGGTGACTGTGAATTTACAAACCACCAAACAAGGACCAAACATGTAACGTGGAACTCATACTATGAACAGGACACATTCAAAGCCTGATGGAGCATTCAATAAAATGAACTGGACACCATCCAGCACACAATGAATTCTGTGAGGAACCTAAGAGGAGTTGGGGTGTTTTGTCTGAGATCATTTAATATTTTATATCACCCAGAGAGAATGGAAGAAGGAAAAAGCACTTCCAAATGGCTTATCTAAAGCATTTGCCGATACACTCAAAGGAAGCCGGGCTTCTGGTACTGTAACTGTACAGGTGCATCTCAAAAAATTAGAATATCGTGAAAAAACGTTCTTTTTTTTTTTAACTTATTTCAAAAAGTGAAACTTTCATATATTCTAGATTCATTACACGTAAAGTAAAACATTTCAAAGGTTTTTTTGTTTTAATTTTGATGATTAGAGCTTACAGCTCATGAAAGTCAAAAATCTCATCTGAAGACAAGTTACAAAAAAAAAAAAAAAAGAATTTTTTCACGATATTCAAATTTTTTGAGATGCACCTGTATATGGATTCTGGCCATAGCACACATGTAACCGTTTCTGTTGTTTTAACACGGTATTCCACAAAAAAGCAAAGCAGAATTACTTGTTTGAAAGCACCTCTCCACCTTCTCTCTCTGGGTTGACAGAATTGCGGCTATGTTCGGAATAGCACTAACGTACTATGCATACTACTTTTACAACATGCATATTAGATGTACTAGGAAATATTTGTATGCATGTAATATCTGGATGATTTCCTACATTTAGGGGCACACTGTAGGATACAAAGAGTTAAGAAAATTTACACTAAATAAAAAAAAATTCAATTATTTCTGGGATGAAAACTGAAACATAAAACGGTCACGTGATAACAGGAAAAAGCTCCAGGTTTGCTGTGCTTCTTTGTAGTTGTAGTAAAAAAAAAAAGTGGTGAATATATATAAATAATAATAATCATAAAGTAAGAAATGTTATAAATGTAATATTTCACTGTAGAATTTAAAAAATTAAGAAAAATCTTATTTTTTACAGTATACAAGTACAATTACAAAACTAATTTTTATGACTGTCTTAATATCTTTATTTTCAAACATTAAGCCATCGAAATAAATGAAATTGTAGCAAAGTGCTACAGTACTATATGTGTATATCACATACAGTATATGTGTTTATATTATGTGTTTATATTATATGTAATGCATTCTGATTCACACAGTAGTACATTAAACAGTGGGCAGCATAAAGCATATAATTCTACAATGCTATTCTGAACACGGCCAAAAAATTGTCTTCGCATACTACTTTTTGTCAAAATTTGCTCTCAGATCCACAACTCTGTGAGAAGCTCAGCTTTTCTGTGTGGAACAAATTTAAACCAAGACATCCCAACTTTAATGACACAACAAGAAAATGGAGGCCACACCCAGCAATTAAAAATGAAATGCTGCAACAATGGGGCGCGGGAAGGGGACAAACAACTGATGATGCTGTACAAAGCGAGACACATAATAGACATACGGAACTCAAATACACATTTACAGACAAAAACAATGAGACAACGGACAAGTGGAGAGACCATATTGGGGTTAGTTAGCTCTGGCACACTACTGCACTTACCAGCAGCTTGGACAGCTAGAAACAGACAATGGGAACACAGACAGAGTTTCAGTTTAATTTCCTACATAATAAAACACTTGGGGTTAGTTAAGGTGGGGATAGTAAGAGAAATACATTTTAATTTGCACTTGAACGTATTATGCTATTAATATATTTACAAGGTTAGACTTAAGCACGATATTCACCTTTAAAACATAAAACATAGCATGTCTGCAAAAATATTGACATATCTGTCCTGAGAGTGATGCCTGAAATGTGACATTACCTGGATGTTGGTGGGGTCCTTGTAAGACTCGTCAGTGGCAGTTTGGAGTTTCTCACTGATCCATGCTTCGATCTCATCTACATCTCTGCTGAACTGCTGCAGAGTCTGGGACTCACCCAGCTTAGAGCGTTTCTCAATCATCTGAGCCTTGAGACGGCGCCACCTGAAGGTCAAAAGGACATACTGCTTTAACTTAAATGACAAATGGAACAGATTCACTCAGTGAGAGCAGTATCAAAAAGAAGAACCCAGACCTGTCTAAGACCTCATTACGACGATTAAAGATCTCAGGTTTGGCGTAGTGGTCAGCGCTAATGAGCTGGTCAGCGAAAGACTGCAGTGCTGCAATTTTCTCTTCCTGTGAGGACAGACACATTTAAATAATCACAAAAAAAACCTCTAGATTCAAAATCAAATAATCTCAAGCTTGACTGCTTTATATCACAATGGCGCTTGCTGACCTGCACATTGATAGCCTTATCAAAGTCTTCATGTTTCTTGATGAGAGCCTCCACACTGTCCAGGGAGTCTCCCTTGTCATCGCTGGCCAAGAAGGCCTCGCGAGCTGCCATCCAGTTCTCAGCCTGCTCGCAGTCACGGTTGAATAGCTGCAGGAGACAAAAATAAACATATGATATCATTTGCCATCTTCAAGTGTTCATGTTTTGTGTATTAAATGTAAACATGGTCCTTGCTGACCTGCAGCTCCAGGCACTGATCCAGCATCATCCTGCGCTGGACCCAGGCCTTCTCTAGGTCGGCACGTTCCCGTTCAAGAGCCTCCAGCTTCTGTTGGATCTCAGGGCTGGCATAGTGGCCACGGGCAAGCAGCTGCTGTCCAAACTGTTCAAAAGCCTGAAAGGTGCCTACACGGGCGTCGATCTCAGTGCGGTGTTCCTACAGAATATGAATATGTGAGTGTTTAACATTTGTTCATGGGCTAAACAGCAGTGTTAATTTCGTTGACGAATAATTGTAAGAGAAGAGCAGACATATGGATAAATCTGACGACGCAAGAGAGAACTCAATTCGGTCCGGTTTTCTGAGCGCAGACTCTGAAGCACAGACAAAAAGCGCATCTCACAGTGCGTGAGTACTCTCTCGCGTCGCATGAACGGAGAATTACACACAAAATGATGTCGAATTGTCAGTTTTGACGAGTATTCATGTAAACACAGTTAAGTGAACGTAAACAGTAGGGAGAACGTGTATCAGTACATTGCATTCATTGCAGCTGTGCATTCGGTTTTAAAGGGATAGCAGCCTACATGCACTGTAACTAAACCCATTAGATTTTAGCCGACTAAATTTACTGTAGATTTAGTCGACTAAAATCTTATGATATTTAGTCAACTAAAACTAAAAACAATTCAGATGACTAAAATATGACTAAAACTAAATGGCATTTTAGTCAAAAGACTATGACTAAAACTAAATCAAAATTTGCTGTCAAAATTAACACTGCTAAACAGGATTTTGTCAAATATTATCAAAGGAAACTCATCTTCTAAACAGCAACTGTAACAACCCTAGTAAAAAAGTAATATAAAAAAAAGTAATTAAAATACATTTATTTCATACTAAGTATAGTTCAAATCTATTAACATATTTACTGACATATCGCTCGAGACTTACTGATATCAAAATTATAATTCAACTTTATTTGGAGTAGTACTTGTGCACAATGCATATTTCATATTATTAAGCCTAAAGTATACTTGCAAAGCACAATCAAATATCAAGTATATCTTTAGTTCAATCAAGTATATCTTTAGTTGGACTTCAGCACTACTTCTGCACAATTAAAATGCATTAAGTACAAAATTAGTTGTTCCAATTTAGCAGACTTTAAGTATACCAGTTTAGTATTTTTTTTAGTATTTAGTATTTTTTTTATTAATAAATAAATAAATAAATATGTAAATGTATTTGTAGTATAGTTAGCTTGAAATAAATGTATTTCAAATACATTTTAGTTTACTCATTTTCACTAGCGAAAGTACATATCATAGGAGTTTTTAAGTACCTGATGTCTCTCCAACAGGGCTTCAGCTCCAGTGACGTCCTTGGCCAGCTCATCTGAAGACACCAGCCCTCTGATTCCATTGATCCAGGACATGAGATCTCTGGGAGATAGAAGCACAGATTTGTTTAGTCTCTTCTGTTTTATTGCTCAGATGTCATATAGCTTCTCCAAGTTGTTCATTTTGCTCTTTTTTCCTCCTCCTCACCTGAAGTCACTGAGGAAGCGCTGCAGGTCGTGAGAGTTGCCCAGTTTTTCTTTGCGCTGGTCAGCACGACCCACCAGGCTGCTCCAGGCAGTGTTCAGCTCGGTGCACTTCTCCTGGATGTCATCCACAGCCTCAGGATGAGACTGAATCAGACGCTCTGCGGTCTCACCAAGAGAGTTCACCTGCCCCAGGAAGAAAATTATATATAAATCATGACAACTTTCAAAATAGTTTTAGCATGTTAACAGATATGACAATATTAATGTATTTGGTCTTGGCGGACTAGATCTGATACACCTGCTACACCAGAGCAAACATGTAAGATATGCTGCTGCTGCATGAATAGGCACATATAAATCATGTAGCAAATCTAGACAGGAGTTGCTGGGGGAGGTGGAGGGTTTCAGAGGAACTCTGATAGCATGCAGCAGAACTAATTTACAGTATTTAAATGTTGAGCAAGCAAGCTCACTGGCTAAAGAATCAGCAGAGGACAATGAGCTTGTGCTGTGTAGTAAATAATGTGATTTTTGGCAGATTGCATGTAAAGGACCTATCAGGCTGTGCCATATAAAGTTTCATGACTGAACTAGATATTTAGAAATCTAAACCAAAAATTAACATTTTACCTTGTCTCCTAGAGCAGCCAGGTCTCTCTCGAAGCCCTCGTGCTTACGCTGCAGAGCCTGCACGCTGGCGAGGTCATGACCGTAGTTATCAGTGTTCAGGGCTTGGTTCTTCTCTTCGATCCATTCCTTGGTCTCATCTGCATCCCTGTAAATCACACACTGAGCTGAATTCCTCTGCACTTCATGTGGCTCACATCACACATGTATAACATGAACATAACAGTATAATTTTGAGGTTAATCAGTGGCATATATGTACCTGTGGAACCTCTGCACCTCATGAGCACTGCCCAGCATGTTGCTTCGGTCTTCAGCCAGCTGCTGCAAGGCCCTCCAGCGGTTGTTCAGCTCCTATACACAAACATATAACCATTAGCAGCTAATCAGAGGGCAGGTTATAGGTCCAGTTAAGACAATGATATGATCCCTGACAGCAGATTTGACTCCCTGAGGTCACGTCTTAAATTATATAAAATGACTGATGAGAAACAAACCTTTTATGGCAATCTACATTCAGAAACATGAAATTTAACAGCCAACCCACTATCCAAAGCGCCACATAAATGGGTCCATATCCTTTGCGTCATACTTTGCTCTACATATCAGTAGCAAAAGCAACAGTATGGGTAAGTGGCATAAACAGAAAGGCTACAACATTAAAGCACATAGGATAAGTGATGACAGTTAGCAAATATGGAAAACTTGGGTGGGTGCATCGGCCACAAACTGAAAAAGAAGCGTTAATGCATTCTAGAATGGCTGTTTTACCTCCACCAAAACATATGGCGTGAAGACATAAAGGAGTTATTTCAAATGGTTGACACAGACTCATGAATGGAAACAAAGGGAGGGGGATGCAACCGCACAGTTGATGGTTCAGTAATAGGACATAGGGAACAAGAGACCATGGTAAGAGCACAAGACCACCACGATGAGTTAGTTCTCCAGGTTCACAGGGCACAATGCAGGATTTAGTGGGATTGGTTGAGGGAAGATTTAAAGATTGAAACTAAGAACCTAGAATCTTACCTTAATAGTATTAAAGTTGGCCGTTGTTTGAACAGCCAAGCGAACAGACTATATTGAGTAAAAAATGTGCAAAAATCAGAGAGAGGGCAGGAAAAGAACAGAAAAATACACCAGTCAAGAGAATGTCACAAGAGGAGTTACAAGAACCAGACTACTCTTGTTGTTCTGTAATCACAGTCACCAAACATCTCTGTGGATGACATACTGGTCAAACAAGACCCTGCATAAAAACTAAACATGCATCAATCTCAATGACCCAAGATTAGACGACATAATAGATTAGATTTAAAGCATTTAAAATTCAGCATGCTATATCACCTTCCATGGAGATGCACCTTTGGAATCTGCTTCATCCTGTGAAATATATACAATAAATAAATAGAATCAGTTTAATAAAAAAAAATAAAAAAATGATATTCATGTGTATGTTTCATGCAGACACCCCAACTGTTATAGAGACAAGATGAATGTATAAAACAATAATGACCTTCCCAGGAGCTGAGCCCAGCATCTCTACTTGCTGATGGTGGGATGAAGGGGAGGTGTGATGAAGGAATGGAGGGTCGGAAGGAGAAAGGGGAAACATTACCAAATCTATAAATCTCATACATTCAGGCATATAAATCAGAATACTACTCTGATGTATACTCTCCAAGTTTAAATGTAAACATAAAATTGATGAGTGGAATGACTCAAAATCTAGAAAACATCATGATGTATACTACTGTCAAAAAGTTAGATAAGATTTTTAAGTTCTAGAAAGAACTCTTTTATGCTTACCAAAGATACATTTATTTAAACACAAAATACAGTAAAAACATTAATATTGTGAAATATTACAATTTAAAAATAATTATTTTCATTTCTTTTAGAAATCATTGTAATATGCTGAAGAAACATTTCTTTTATTAGCAATGTTGTAAACAGTTGCCTAATATTTCTTTGGAAACTGCTATTTTTTTTTAGGATTCTTTGATAAATAGAAAGCTCAAAAGAACAGCAATTATTGAAAAACAAAACAAAACAAAAAAATCTAAAATTATATGTCTTTACAATCATTTTTATACATTTAATGCATGCTAGCAAAGAAATAAAACTGACCCCAAACTTTCAATGGCAATGTATGTTTAATCAAATTCACTGTGTGTGTAAAGTGTTTTTCTTCATACCTGGGCCTGCACAACAGGAGCCTCTTCAGCCATCAGTCCTTCAGACTCCAGCTCAGATGCCACCTTGTTTATATCCCTCAGCCGAGATTCATTTGCTTTCAGATCCTAGCAAACAATAAAAAATACAAGAGTTTAGAATCAGTGGACACTTATTAGCCAATGCTAGCGTCCAGTGATAAAGGAGTCATAAATGTGTATGAGAAACATACCTTCTGGAAGTCATCAAACTTCTTCTGCAGAACTTCCACTTGCTCCAGATCAGAGCCGACCTCCTCATTAGTAAGCGCTGATTCTTTCTCATTGATCCACTGCTGCAGCTCGTTCGCCTCACGGAAAAGCATGAACTTCTTGCAGCTCTTCTCCAGCATGTCCTTCCTCTTCTCTCCAAACTCTTGTAGTGTACCATACCTACGAAGAGAGATCAGAGACTTTAATGCAACTCCCACCTCAAAACTGGGACTGAAACATCTCTTTCTAGGAGAGGAAATAGAAGCTGGAAACACGGACAGGGGTTAATCTAACAGTGAGAAATTTGCATAGTCAGCAATCGAAAATGCAGAGTGAAACATCTAGACACCAACTCCACAAAAGGAAAAGCTCAGAATGACAACATTCTCACAAAAGATGTGAACATCTATCCCTTAATGGAATAGAAGAGGAGGAGAATGAGACAATGATCTGATGGACAGAGAATGATAGAATTATAGAAGACCTAAAGCAGGAAAAACAGCAAGATGGATGAGGGGAATGTGGATACAATGATTTTGCAATGATGGAGGCTTCTTTGATCAAATAAATGACATTGGTCGGGCCTACTCACAGTTCCTCCACCTGCTTCATGCGTACAGATACGCTGCACACCTCCTTGGTGACCACAGTCCTGCCACAGGGCAGGGCAAGCAGACACATGCAAGCATTTAAATTAAGAAAGAAAGAAAACAAGAAAGAAAGGAAAAAGAGGAGTAACGAGGGGTCAGAAACATTATTAAGAGTTAGTTTTTAACAGATGCCTTATTTGAGCTGCAGGAAGAGTAAAGATGCAAAGATCTTAAGAGGCTTTGTGTTAAAAAGAAATGATTTTGTTGGAATGTAAGTAGTAAGGTTGAAAAATAATTACAAAAATGTTCACATTAGGGCCATCAATCAATTAAAATTATGAATTAATATTTCTTAACATTTTTGTGGATACTTTTATTCAGGGGACCTTTTTCTTTGATGAACAAATTGTCTTTGTGAAACAAATCTTTTTTAACATTATAACTGTATTTACTGTCACTTTTGATCAATTTAATGAATCCTTGCCGAATAAAAATATTAATTTATTTTTTCTTTCAAAAAAATATTATTTCTGACCTCAAACTTTTGAGACATTGACAGCCCGAATGCATATTAGACAAAGTAAGAAGTCTGCCCTCAATCATTTGAATGAAAACCAAAAGCAGAATGACTCTTACTGATTCTCAATCTGCTCCTGTCGCAGAGCAATGCTGCCCTGTTCATTTAGCAGATTCTCGCGAGAGGAAGATTGAGTCGGGTCCAACTTCTTCACGTACGCTGCAGGAACAAAGCCCTGCCTGTCGTTCACTTCCACTTTCCACCAGTCCTGAGAACAAGATACATATATATATATATATATTACTTACACAAGTCCAAGAAAGTCATCTGGATTCAAACTGGCATGCTAAGTAACACATGTAGCGTGCCCTATTAATCACCTTGTTGGTGCTGTTGAGCAGAGTGAGGATGTCGCCCTTCTTCATGGTGACCTCACGTGGACTCTTCTCCTGGTAGTCGTATAGAGCAAGAACCAGCTCCTTGCCGGTCTCATCATCAGTGGGGGCCACTTGTTGCTGTTGATTAAATCAATGAAAAAGGACCAAATTTTTATTTCCATAAAATGTAAAAGTTTTACGTGTTATTTCCTTTTGGTCAATGCAAAAGAGTTCTTTGTGATCTTACTCTGCAGGCCTCGGCTTGGTCTTTTAATGCCTGGATGCTGCTGCCATACGCACTCAGATCAGACATCAGTGCCTCGTGCTTCTTCAGCAGAGCCTGTAAATGATAACACTGACATTTTAGAGCCATCCATTTTTTTATACAAAACTGCGATGACACCACAAAAGCAATTGAGTTTAGTTCTGCCAATTAAGCACTTTAAACATCTTATTATGTATAAGGGATGCTACATGAAACGATCATCAGAAAAGAGACGAAATTATTATTTTTTTACCTTACATTGCATTTTTTGCTCAAATATTAGTAAAAATTCAATGTAATATTCTTACTAATTTCATTCTAGATCCAGCCCTCTTTCTTGTTTACCTCTGCAGAGTCTTCATCTTTGCCGTAGTCGGTGCTTCCTACAATGGGCTCCTTCTCTCTCATCCAAGACTCAGCTTCATTGGCATCAGCAAAGTACTGCTGAGCCTGAAGGGAGTCCTCCAGATCCTGTCTACGCTGGGCCGCTTTTCCCTTCAGTCCATCCCAACGATTGTGCAGCTCTTGCAGCTTAGCTTTCACATCGTCCCCTGCAAAGTGACCTGAAATTTGGAAAAAAGCATTTTATTTACATGAATATTCCAAATTTATTGCTTCTACTTTGAATAATGACTAAAGCTGTTCTGAACCGATGCCTAATAGAAAGTCAGTCTTATGAAAGTGCAAGAATTAAGTATTACCTTCTTCAATCATGGCCTCCCCCTTCTGAGTAACAGCCTTGATTCGGGGTTCATGGCCAGAGATTTCCGCCTGCAGAGCCTGGTGTTTCTTCAGAAGGTTCTGGACTCCAATAAGGTCTTTTCCTGAGAGAGTATGAGAAAATCGTTGTTTTTAAGAATATCAACAGTTTATAGTCATTTCAGATTTCATTCATGCAATTTAATCACACTAACCCCTGTTGGTGGAGGAAGCAATGGGTTCCTTCTCTCGGATCCAGGTCTCCTCATCTTCCACATCCCTGAAAAGTTGTTGAAGGCGCAGAGAGTCTGACAGCTTCTGTTTGCGGGCGGCCATGGGCTCCTTTAGAGCCTCATAGCGTGCCACCAGAGCCTCTTGTTTTTTGCGGATGTTATCAGCGTCAAAATGGCCAGCCTCCTGGAACTGCCTGGCCTGAATAGTAATGCCATCAATGCGGTCCTGTAAAGAGGAGAGTTAAGATGAATGAGTTCAGATATTAAAAAACAAACACTGCCAGCTGTACAGAATCATACAAGAAACAGTGTAAATGTCTAATATCAGTTACTTTGAAAATCATTCAGACATTGTTACCTGGTGAGCAGCCACATCAGCCTCCAGCAGAGCATGTTTCTTCTGAAGATTCTGGACGCTGGTCAGGTCTTTGCCAAAGTCATCGGAGGCTAGGTGTCCCTCCACCTCATACAGCCACAGCTCGATGTCCTCTACATTACGATTGAACTGCTGCTGCTGGTTCGCTTCACGCAACTTAATCCCTGAATGAGTAAATAATGTGATATCACTGAAAAATCTGCCTTTTGTTTCATAATTACCAATAATAAATCAGATAAACATAGTTTTTAACTACCGACAACTGTCTCTTCCTGTGAAATAGGCAGTACTGTCACACTGTGCCATTTTCTCACCTTTGAGTTCAGTTGCCTCTAGAAGTTTCTTCCACTGAGAGCTGACCTCATCCATTCGGGTGGACACCTCGCTGGAGGCGTAGTGTTTTCCATCAACCAGCTCCTGGCCTGACTTCTGCAGTGCATCAATGCGGCTCTGATTGGCAGAGAGCTCAGCTTCGAAGGCCTGGTGCTTCTGTACCTTCCCCTGCAGGTTGGATGGGTCCTGACAGAGAAGGAATAGAGGGTGAGAGTAAGAAGCAAATATAAACAATTGATTCCAAATGTGTAAAACAACTCTAGGACAACATACCTTGTAGGCCTCGTCAGTGGCAGTCTTCATCTTCTCATTGATCCAGCTCTTGAGCTCATCAGAGTCCCGGAAAAACTGCTGCAGATGGAAAGAGTCCTCCAGGGCGGCACGGCGAAACTGAGCGCGCTCGTGAAGAGCGTTGCGTCTGCTCAGCAGCTGAAGTAGAAAAAAAGGTGTTTAAGTCATAGTATTACCAGTGATTCAGCACTTCTGTCAGCAATAATGAGGGGAGGAAAGTGCTTGCGGGGTTGAAATGAAGGTCGTTTCAGGGTGCTAATCTCCACTTACTGCATCTCTGCGAGTGGCCACATCCTCCTTGGCGTAGTGATTGTTCTGGATCAGTTTGGTGGCAAATTCATCCAGGGCCTGTATATTTCAGTAGAGAATTAAAAAGAAAAAGGAGTAAGATTTGTAAGCCTGATTATAACAGGCCTTGGATTTTATGTCAAGCTGTGATTTCTTACGGTGATCTTCTCTTCCTGGGCACTGAGGGATTTCTCAAAGTCTTCATGTTTCTTCAGAAGAGCTTCAACACTGTCCAGAGAGTCACCCAGATCTTCATTCAGCAGGAAAGCCTTTGAGAAAAACAGTTTGAAATGTTTAAATCTTTGCTCTCAGTTGAAAACAAAATTAAAGTGTTACACGATTCAGAGAAAGTATTTTGGCTGATCCTCATAATATGATAAGCCTAGATGAATTTGTACCTCTTGCTTGCTCATCCAGTTGTCGACCTGCTCAGTGTCTCTGTAAAAGAGCTGCAAGTCCATGCACTGCTCATACTGCTGCCTGCGTAGCTCCCACAGCTCCAGAAGAGACACTCTCTCTTCAGACAGGATGCCCAGCTACACCAACAAATACAAAATGAGGGTCATTCAGATTCTCACTTTAGAATTAAAAATGCATGAATGATGATTTGAAAATAGCCTACAAAAACACAGGTCCAAGGTCAGACACACCTTTTCCTTGACTTCCTCAGAAGCATAATGTCCAGTGTTCAGCAGAGCCTGCCCAGCCTCATCGGTAGATTTGAAACTGTCCTCATGAGCATCAATCTCGCCCTGGTAAAACATTATGGACATTATGGTCTTTCAATGTCAAGCATCCTTGGTAGAGCAATACTATAAGTGCAATACTAAATAAGCAAATCAGTTTTAAAAAAGAAAGAAAGGTTTAAGATTCTATATTTACTATCCAAACATAATTTTCCCATGTTGCTCTACTTGTTTAGATTTTCAAAGTTCAATACCTTATGCTCCTGGTGGCGGTCAAGCAGGGCCTCCGCTCCGGCCACATCGTTGGCCAGCTCATCTGCATTGATCAGAGCCTTCATCTCCGTCACCCAGCTGGTCAGGTCACGGAAATCTGCAGTGAAGCGCTGCAACCTAGAAGCAAGACAACCATGAGATCACAAGCTAGCATAGTGTAAACTGAGTTTAAAATCTCAACCAATCAATTTGAAGTAGTGATCAAAAGCAAAAATGTGCGTCTTAGCCTACCTGTAGGAGTCATTGAGCCGAGTGTGTCGTTCAGCTGCCAGGGTACGGATCTGCTCCCAGTTGGTAATGAGTTCGTCTCTTTTCAGGTGGATCTGAGAGGCATTCTGGGGGTGTGTCTGCTGCAGACGGTCGGCCTCGCCGCCAAGAGTGTTTACCTGAAGACAGAACAGAATGTCTATATCAAACAAACTGAATGACTGTGCAATGCTTGCACATTCTGTTGTACATTTCTGCAACAAATTAAATGTACATAAATAAAACAATAAAAGAATAAGTGTATAAATGTGATGGGCAAGTCTGTATTGAGGGATAGAAAAAGAGAGTTTGTGGATATGCTGAGTCTGACCTTGTCCTTCAAGGCTGCCAAATCTCTTTCCAGCCCCTCGTGTTTCCGGAGCAGGGCTTGAACGCTGGCAAGGTCACGACCAAAATCATCAGATGCCATCAGCTGCTCCTTCTCCTTAATCCAGCTGATTGTCTCATCCACATCCCTGTAGGTCAGAACAGACAATTTCAGTGACTAAACACATTTAAACCAACAAATTTGTATAGTAGTGATTACAAATGTCTTGAATAACTCACCGGTTGAAACGCTGCACCTCAGCAGCTCCAAATAGCTTGCCCTGCCTTTGCTGAGCCAAACCCTTCAGCCTCTGCCAGGCAGCGTTCACCTCCTCCTGCTTCTTCAGGATGAGCTCAGCCTCAGGATGGTTCTCTTGGGTTAGCTTACCGGCTGCCTGGTTCACCTCATTCACACGCTCCTCGTGGGCTGCCAGGTCTGTCTGGAATCACTCACGGAGGTACTGCACCAATTTCTGAGCCTGCAGGAGACGCACTCCCTTCTCTTTAGTCTTCTGCAGCAGCAGGTCCCACAGACGGTGAAGTTCCTCTAGACGGGTCTAAGTTTTAAGAGGGGACAAAGACAGACAATTAGGATCAAAACAAAACGTGATCAGAAACAAAAACAAAAATATTATTCAAGGACAGCTCAGATTAAATCTAATTTATTTTTATTTTTTTTGAAAAACAAAGTCAGTTTGGACTGTAATAGAAAGACTGAATAAGGAATTTGAGGTAGAATGAAAAGGAACACAGCACTCAGTTCTTTTAAGGTACATGCACTGTAAAATGAACTACAACAAATGAAAATGTCACCGCACTCAAGTACCTACTGGAATAAAAGTGCCATAATTGACACTTTTTACTATTGGTCGCTGAGCGGTCCGGTAAGGCGTGAAAGACTGATCCATATAGGATAAAGTTAAAACATTATAAATTTCACTTTTCTCCATTATGGAGCTCTAGCATGTGGTATTAAAAAGAAAAAAACCTTACTCGAATGGTTTCAGATGCAAAGTGGCTCTCAGATGTCATGAGATTGCCGGTCTCGTCCAGTTTAATGATGGCCCCAGCGTTAGCCTGCACCTCTGCCTCAAAGGCTTGATGTTTCTGGAGCTTTCCCTAAGAGATGGGGAAAAAATGCTATATGAGACAAAAATGCATCATATGCAGATTTTTATTAATAAACACTGTATATTATGAAAATGCATTTCTTCTGAGAAGTTTCCAACTTTGCAAGGCCTGATTTCAACCAACTGCAGAATTATCTCTATAAACATCTGCATAAGTCACAACACAAACCTTGTGACCAAAGTCACTGCATGCATGTGTTCATTTACCGTATTCAGCTATTATAACAATCTGATGACTCTATAAAGTAATTCACTGCTGATTACAGCAGACAGACCCAGCCGAGGAATTTACAGCTTAAGGGAGGAGTCACTTCAAGAACAGAGGTGACAGCACATTTTTCGCTAAATGTGATTTCTTATGAAGCTTATTTTTACTCTCACCTGTAGGTTACTGGGGTCCTTGTAGTTCTCATCAGAGGCGATCTGTAGCTTCTCTTGGATCCATTTCTCAAGCTCATCTGCATCTCGACGGAAGAACTGGAACCGGTAAGAGTCCTCGAGTTTCTGTCTGCGCACAACGGACAGCTCCTTGAAGCGATGGTACCGGTCAAGAACCTGCTGACGGCGCTCCTGGATGTCCTCGGCTGACTCCAGAACTTTAACTCCACTGATATCCATTTTCTAAAAGAGGGAAAAGATAATGGATAAATCTCCAAATGTCCAAGTCCTTCCACATGAACTTGGGCTTAGTAAGCAAAAGCAAAAATGTGAATACACTTTTGAAGAACCTTAGTATGGCTTCCTGATCAGAAAGGAACAAGAGTACAGCAAGAGTGTTACTTGAAAAGAAACAATGGGAACTTCCAGGTAATAGGCAAAAAGGACAAATTCAAGAGTTTATACAGCAACTTTCATGTTTTAACTAAGACAATTGTGTATTGGTGCAAATAAAATTTTTTTAAAAGACACCACTAAGTCTGTGTGGAACAAACACTCACTCAAGGGAGGTACCTAAAACCAGGCAGACATTTTATGAGTTAAAAGACACAACTCTCCCAAGCAATGGCCAACAGCTGAGCACATGGGGGGCCCGGCGGAAATTCCTAACGCTTCTGAGTAAACCGTCACAAAGAGAGTGCTGCCATCAGCCCCCCGCTGACACTGAACACAACCCCCACCAATCCAAAGCTACATCCACCCCAATCCAACGGCATCCGTCCCATACTGTCAGTGGGGAGAGGGTTGTGTGACTTCAGCTGTATTCGAAGGTGGAGGGGACGAGGTTATGCTTGTGTCCAGAATGAATGAACCAGGGAAAGATGGGTCACACCCAGGCTACAGCAAATGTCTCTAGCTCTTTTTCTACGAATAGTGTGCCGTTTGATGATCTATAACTGTTCCGTTCGTTCTGGGTCAGAAAAATTGTCACCACAAAACTGCTAATGTCAGAGGTTGGGGGATGGAATAATCTCAACAACAGTTTACTCTGATGTGAAACAAAACTAAATTGCTCTCATTATAATCAACAAAGCTGTTGACAGAAGAAACACTGGAAAATGACTCAAAACTATTCTCAAAACTCTTTATACTCATAAAAGACCATTATGTGTCATGTTTATTGTAGTCAGGTAATATAATGACAAAAGCTGTTAAGTCAGGAGAATCGTAAGCTGATTCTCAAAGAGGTTTGCTGATTTTGAGCACCAGACTGACTGGATTTCTGGGAATGCAGGGTCAAGTTGTTGGTCCATTTCAGAAGAGTCAAAGAATAGGATAATAAATACCCTGTTAATGCAGTCAGACACATCTGGCTCAAATCAAAATGATGTTCAAAGTGGTTATAAAAAGCTAACTTAGGACAAAGAGTAGAAGAATTAACTTCACACACAGGTGTGAACATCTGGAGCCATTCCACACTGACGTGTGAACATCTGAACATTCTTCATCTGTTTTAGAAAAAGCATGGCAACTTTTTAACCCTTTCTGTGAGGATTATTTAATTATTTATTTATTCATCTAATGATAAAGGTTATTTTCTTGACCAGAATATTGTAATTTAAATTACAATTTAAAAAAATGAATTGTAAGATTTAAAACACTAGGCATTATACTCTTCTCTTGCTGTTGTTCCAAACAAAAGACACTACCTAAAACATGCACCTTGCTGATAGGAGACACAAGACAAATTAAAACAATTTGTTCTATAATCAGCTCAAAATACCAGACATGTTTGATATCCTCCAAAAGTATGGAATTAAAGTCTAAAGCTAAAAAAAATGAGTCTGTGCCCATCATACACTACGTGATTTTCTGTGAAATCTGTCAACTCTAACTACCCAAAATCTTCAGATTAGCGATGACTTCCGGCAACTACAGTGTTGATTCGTCCAGACTGTAAATTGGGGCAAAAATCTGTGCAAAAGTCATGTAGTGTATTCCAGCCTTGACTATATGCAAAACTATATTATGGTTTAATATTTGACAAACTGTAAAACTTTTCCCTTGTTAAAAACATTCATTAAAAAGCTTTCTTTATAAAATCTTTAAGATAATTAACCTACCACATATTTCTATGGGTTTATTCAACAATAGCATTACTGTGTGGCTGCATGTGGATGTTGTCTGACAATCACATGCTGTGCTCCATTTGCTGAAGCGAATCCATCATAGGATGCATTTGGAAAGGGTTCAGGCTAATCCAAGGTCAGGAAAACTAACAAAACAGCACTTTAACAATGCAAAGAGGGACCAGACTATGGAGTCAGCCATGTAATGCACTGTCAGCCTGGATCAATACAGTCTTTTGTTATGCTGGCCAAAACTGCCATCTTTCCACTATAACCCTCCATGCATGTACATAGAAGAAGAAAAAAAAAGATGGTGGAACAAGAGCAAAGAGAAGATCATGCTAAATATAAAAGAGACAGAAATGGCAATGGCTTATGAAGTCTCATGAAGTTAGATAATTAACTGCAGGAGATCAGCCCTGTACAAAACATCCGCTTGATATAATGACAGAAGGATGGAAAAGAGAAAGCAGATGAGGAAGTGATTAGCTAATGGCTGATCCATTAGTGAGGTCCTTGACTCAAACATAACCTCTTAAAAAAGCATAAAACACATCCAGATGAGAAATGTGATGAATGACCGCTGATCTAATGCACAGCTTGTGCTCTACTGTGAATATGTCCTGTTTTTGTCCAGATCAGCTGGACGCATGCCGCCTTCCCCCCACCCTGCGTCTCCCAAAACGATCCCATCTCAATGTCCGCTTAGATCAGACAGGGGATTACGACCAGCTCAGCTTGGTTTTACTCAGACAGCTCTGTGAGGATAGATGTCATGTCCACGGATCTGTACCGTTAAATTAAGCCGGCAAATCAAATGTGCGTCGGAAAAAACGCAATAGGCCACACCCATGCACAGATCAAAAGTCAGCAGATGTCAACCCATGATGAGTCTTTAATAAACATGAATTCTCAATATCTAGGTTGTGATGTTTTTCAAAATGCTTAAGCATGAAATAAAAGAGTTGCAAATTAAAATGTCCAAAAAAGTCATAAAACTCACCAGAATATAAAGCTACGTGTCCACGAGGGTCTCACTGCAGTCCAGCTGTAGCAACAGATAGCACCTCTAAACGCGACTGCGTACTAGTGATAACACAAACTCACACGTTCTTCTCCCTCCCTGTTCCTCTCGATCATGCTGATTCTGAATCCAAATGAATACAGCAGTCCAGCGGCACTCTGGAATGTTCCCTTCTGTTTCCCACACGCTCGTTCATTGAGCAGAGCGCTTCAGTAACTGTCTCTCACATTCCCAACACATGATGACACAGGCAAAGTCCAACTTCTCGCCCTGCTGCATTACAGTGGTCATTTATGATTTATGAACAGGCAACCATTAGAAGAGCTTTAAGATATGACATGCTGACAGCCATTTTATTTGTGTAATAAATTGAGGTTTGTGTAATAAAAAAAACCCACTCCTCCAAAAAAAAAAAAAACATCTTTGTTATAGCCATACTAAAACCATTATGGTCAAAACCACAAACCAAAAAAGGAAGAGAAGTCAACGGAATAAATAATAATAATAATAAACCATCTTTTAGAAATGCACAATATATTGGAATCACATTTGTTATGTATATTAGTGATTTAAAAAAATATATATCAGTATTGGTTGACACTGGATACACTACTGTTTTGTGGTCAGTAAGCTTTTTTTTTTAAAGAAATTAATGCTTTTATTCAGCAGGGCTGAATTAAATTGATCAAAAGTAACTAGATTTGAACATATCACTTGACCAGAATTTTAATATCAGTGAATCCCTAACCAATTGTTTGCAGCCTATAAGATCCTTTGTTACTGTTTTAGAATATTCCCACTCCAACCAGACAATCAGGACTCTCTAATAACGTCAAGGCTCCTATTCGCGCTCTGTCCTGATAATAAGGTTGTCCTGACAGACATTCTTAAGATTCTCTTGGAGAAGAGCTAGGATATTAATAACCACAAGCCTGAAGGTGTGACAGATTTTCAAAGCAGTATTCAGAAGACAGTGACATCTGTGTGAAAATGAACCACTAACCAGGAAAACTAGAACATGAAAGTGAGTCAATCATGAAGCTGCATTGCTAAAGAGACTAGATTCTTATCAGATCACAAGGTGACATGAAAAATGAATTGATGCAATAAGACATTTCCTCAAGCATTCATTTTTCATAACATGGATCCCATACTCCAAACATCAGTGTTCAGCACGAGTGAAGCACTTATCATTAAATGCACTCCCACTATCAAGCTGGGAATACTGAGAACTCAGTGAGGTCACATTGAAAGCCTGGAAGTTTCCATGGTAACACATCTGTATCCGAGAGGAGCTGACGTCTGAATGGGAGGATACAGGCTTAAGGAATTTAGAGGAAATGGGTGGGCTGTCTCCAAGGATTTAGCTTGGCTAATAGTAGCTGTTTGAATAGACCAAAAAGCTGAAATAACAGCGATAGAGATACAGATACAGATAAAAGCGCCTATATTATTTAAACCCTTACACTTAAAGAATTGGCAAAAATAACAATTTGCTAAAAAAAAATCTACTCACCATTGGGCCATCCAAAATGCAGACAAGTTGGTCTTTATTGGAACAGATTTGGAGAAATTTAGCATTACATCACTTGCTCAATAATGCATTCTCTGCAGTGAATGGGTGCCGTCAGAATGAGAATTCAAACTAGTGGTGGACCGATATTGGTTTTTTGACAGCCAATGCCGATGTAAAGACAAATGTTTGAAAAACAGCAGGCGACTCTTTTTTTTTTTGCAAGATAATGTATATATAGCAATAATAAATGTATGTGTGTTTTATTAATTTTTCCAGTACCGATAGCAGAACCGTTAACGTCAGAGCTTATCGATACTCCGGTCTTTCATAATTTAGCCCCGGGACCGATTAAATACCGGGTTTCGGTACCCATCCCTACTCATTAGTCATTCAAAGATTTGTTTAAATTATATAAATTAGGGATGTTCATTTCGGTTATTTTTCCTAACCGACAACAGATGCTCGTTAACCGATTATTAACTGTTAACTGACAAGATTATTTTAAATTAGAATGGAATTAAATTAGAAAGGATAAGTGTCTGTGACCCGTTAAAAATACTAACATTTGTTTCCT